AACCAAAACACTTCTTCTGATTATACTAAATATAATTTCTTCTGTCGCTCCATGGACACATTAGAGCGTTCAGTTTTTTTGTGATAACAGCTTGTACCAGTGAACTGTTTGATGTGACATGAAGCCACATTCAAGTGTCCTGGGTTGAGTTATTCCCTGTTTTTAATCATATTCAGCGTTTTGTGTGAAACCCTGTTGAGCTTTTTTAACAGACCTCCTTCCTGAGATATCTTGGTAGTAGACGGTGTAATATTCCTTTAACAGCGGCTCAGGACTGTATCCCAGTTTACTGTAGATATAACGGAGGGATTCTCTCGTTCTGGATTAGCTGCCTGTTCCACCTGCTCAGCACTTAGCATGAAGAAAAGCTGCTTGCCCCCGCCCGCCCCCAACTCTACACCCCCGTCAACACTCACACTCAATCCTGGGATCATGTGACCAGGCCTCTAGGTCTGTCATTGGCTGTTTAGTGCACAGAGCATTGAGCATTTGGTTCCTGCACATTATTAATTTATTAGCAATATATATATTTCAATGACATTTGACACCACAAATGACTCAAATCAACATCTGTGTATGTGACGCCCACTTCAGAAGAACTCTAACCCCTCCCCTCTTCTGTCTTTCTCTCTCTGTCCACTCAGAGGCAGCATGTCTCTGTTCAAAGCTCGCGACTGGTGGTCGGCAGCTCTTGGCGAGGGCGAGGAGTTCGACCAGGGATGCCTGTGTGTCGGAGATGTGGACAACAGCGGCAGCGGACATGGTCAGTGTGTAGGGAGGAGGTGACACATGAACCAGCACAAAGCATACACAGTGCAGGTCCTCATCTAAAGTGTGTCACGTCCAATTTACTCTAGAGCTGCTGTGACCTGGACAATCTCCTGCTGAGTTCCTCATGTGTGAAAGGCACATATCGGAAAATGTCTGGACCCAATTGTTTGGACATTTTCTGGAGTTCATGTCTGAAAACGACTAGAAATAAATACACGAGTCAACTTTTATGGAATCTGAGTCTCTGTTATTCCTTCATATTTGTCGTACTTGACATATGTCTTCAATTAAATTTATTCATGGTCTTAAAAAGTCTTTATCTTGTTGAAGCCCTGTTACAGGAAATAAAATAAAACCAGACATTGTTCTCTGTGTCAAGATTTCATGTGATAACCACACCTTCTTTTATGTTACTTCATTCAGCCTTCAGTATTTATTTTAACTTTAAATTAGTTAAATATGTGTTGATTAAAAAAAGAATAAATCGTGTTTCTGCTCATTGAGATCTTGGTCTTTGAGCGGTGTAATAACCTCTGTGATTATAACTTTGCAGATAAAGTTGTGGTGGGCAGCTACATGGGAATGCTGCGGATCTTCTTCCCACATGTCAGTAAGTCCAGTGAGGCGGGTGTGGCTGATGCACAGCTTCTGGAGGTCCAGCTTCAAAACGCCATCATCCAGGTGGAAGTGGGCAAGTTCGTCTCGTAAGTAGATCTGGAAGAAGCCTGGGCCGGGGACAACACAGGGTTAGACAGGTCGTGTGTACTTCACCCATGCAGTGGATTGTGGGTCATTTTCTGAACATATGAGGTATTTCATCCGACACCATCACTAACAGTTTATGATCTAAGGTTTAGATGTCGAACTAAACATCAGTACATTTTATTCTGGTCCAAATATCCATATTCAGTCAAGCTCTAACGTCGACACTAATGGAACTATCGGTTCTATTATTAGGTTCTGTGTTCTCGGTGGCGCTCCTAATAAATCAAGTCATCTCAGATCTTTGCTCTAACACCAGGATCACTGATAGAGTTGCTAATCTCTCCGCCCCCATTGGCTGCCTTCCTGCGTGCGGGGCCTCACCTGTGTCAGTGATTTGTCGGCCCAATTAGCATTAGCCTAATGTCTTTTACCAGGAAGCAAACTTGAATGGTTTGTTGTATCAAGAAGGCCAGAGGTCACTGTTGGAGAGGAGGAATTAAACCTGCAAGCTTTAGATTACAGAGCAGCTTCACTGGCCACCCTGACGACCATATCTCTGTTTCTGTTTAACATGTGTGCTGCTGCCCGGGAATTAATCACAGGTCTCTCTGCAACTCTATGTCATGACCTTCTGTGAGTTCTAAGCATTCATATCATAACTTATAATAGAGCCTTACTTCAAGCTGCCAGGCAGAAACACCCATTCATAACTCATCACACCGCTTTTTCATTCATAGAAAAACCATCCCTGCTGCAACTTACCACCACATTAACATGTCTTTTTTCTTCTGCCGTCGCATGCGAGTCCAAAACCACCACGTCAGGAGTTTCTCTCCCGCCTCGTGATTTATCATGATCTATCAGCCACCCGGCGGTCCAAACATAGTTCTGCTCGTAATATCAGGCTAACCACTGAGTTGCTAGCATAGCTGTCAGAACCCAAGGGCCCTGTGCTGCGTTGTTGTTGCACTGCATAATTGGATCTTAAGAGCTGACCCCTCGAAATCGAGGTCAAGTGAAATGTGCGACTTCCTCCAGTGAAAACAACTTGTTTTGCAGCACAGATGATTCAGTGACCCCCTCACAGCCAAAACGCTTTCAAAGTGGGGAAGAAGAGGGGAGGAAAGGAATGATGTGGGGGACACTGACAGGCTCGTAGGATAGATTATTTAGTGGAGAATTTGATTCATCTTACATTATAATTAGCTTGGCACGAGAGGGAACACACTGAACCCTGTGCCCTGAACGTTTTAACCTCAGTGCACCTTAAAGGAGACGTATCGTGCTCATATTCAGGTCGATCATTTTGTTTAGTGTTTCTGTCAAATGTTAACGTGCTCTAATGTTCAGAAAACACTCCACTCTCCTCAGACTGCTCATCACTGCAGCTCCTCTTTTCAGCCTCTGTCTGAAACTTCTGATAAAGCCCACATACTGATAGTGATCATAATAAATATCAAATCCAACTTTATGAAGTGAAAAACGAAGAAACCAAACTGCAAAACTTCAAATCTGTAAAAAATAGTGATTCTGAAGCTGTCGCCACTTCTCAATGTCTAACAAGCACAGCTATTCTTCTTCTCTCATACACAGCTGAATGGGTAATTGAACCTCTAACCCTGGTGGTGGCGCTGTCTTACTTTAGCCATTGATCCGAACACCGTGCCTCTCATTGCTCCCCACAGCGACGGCACAGGAACCTCCCGGAAAGTGAGCTTTCTGGGAAAAGCTCTGGTGGTTTGCCTCGAAGGCTTCCCATATCATCACGCTGGGAGCAGGACCCAACTAAATCAGTCTGTTCGGAAGACGTCGTGTTTGGTTACCAGCGGTTTTTCAGCACAGCATTTTTCAGAGGGTGGTGGACAGTTTGGAATCCGGCCTGGATGTAGAAGCACGTTGTAAATAATGTCAGGGCAGACCGAGGTGGGCAGATGGTGAAAGGTTTTGTTTCAGCGCAGACTTGACTGGTGTTTTTTTTCAAGCAAGAAAGAAAACATCCAGACATCCAGTTTTCTCCTCCTTTGTTGTTGTTGTTCTCTCAACAAACATTACAACAGCGGTTGTAGGATTGCAAGACGGCATCTGCTCTGAGTCCAGGGAAGTGGACATGTGCCGTCTCTGTGGGTTTGTGGTGGAGTAAATAAGTGAAAATCTAGGATCAGCGTCACTGAGACCATCATTTACACCTCAGCCATAACCAACGTCAAAACAATCCAGCAGCTGTTACAGCACCAGTTAAAATATGACCGAGCTGAAAACACGAGTCCACGAACAAGTCATAAACTTGGGATTTATCTGATGAGTAGTTGGTTATGTTTCTGTCGTTTTCGCCCGTGTTGTTTGTTTGATTGATTGTTTTCCAGCAAGATTACAAAAAAACCAACTGAACTGATTTTAAATTAAACTTGGTGGAAGTCTGGTCAAGTTTGGTGCAGATTTTACGTGCTCTACTGAGTGCCACGCTAAATAGAAGCTTACTCATCATGAAGGGCAAGACATGGGGTTGGGAGGAACGTATTTGGACTCATGTTTCTTTTAACACATCGTAGTAAAGAGTCTTTTTTCATGGGCAGTATCTCTACTCTTCACTGACGCACACTTCTATTGTTGGTGGTGATAATTCTTCCTGTAATCTGATCAGGTGTTCGGAGCTGCTTCACCTGGCTGTTCTCCACCCCAGGAAACTGTCCGTCTACTCTGTGTCAGGTACAACACACACACACACACACGAGAAGATAAATCATATAACCCCCCACAGCGTTATATGATTTGTTTTAATCATTCATGCAACTTTGCGTGTGTGTGATCAGGCACCGCAGGGAACGTGGAGCATGGTGACCAGTACCAGTTGAAGCTGGTCTATGAGCACAACCTGAAGAGAACGGCCTGCAACATGACTTACGGCACCTTCGGAGGAGTTACGGGTACGTGGAGCGTCTTGTTACCTGATCACTTCACCACATTTGTTGTCCACGTTTCAGGAGCGTTTGAAATACGATGGCCTGGTCGCACTGCTGTGACGAAATCTGTCATGGACGTGTTATAGAATTTAGAACCAGGGTTAAAGTGAGAGTCAGGTGTGGCCTCAGTTCAGTTGTGATGTTTTAAATTTTGGGGTGAAGGGATGCCTGCTGTCAGAGAGGGTCCTCACAAGCATAGAGGTACAAATGTGTATGAGTGAACATCTGTGCACACGTCTTGGCAGAGGTGGTAATTGGCTGCACTGCACAAATACATAAAACTATAAATGTCTGTAGAAGGAGCAGAGGATGGAAAGGGAGAGCGAGAGGTCATATAGCTGCTCTCTCTCTTTCTCTCTCTCTCTCTCTCTCTCTCTCTCTCT